TCATACACAAATATGAGCCAAGTTCCAGTACTACTACCGACAAATTGTACTACGTATAAAAGCAAATGATGATTTTAGTTGATTGGGGTGTGCTATAGACTTACCTCCACGTGGTGCACCCGGGGCAACGTATATTCATACGGCAAAAAAGTCTATCAATGGGCAGTTGACTTCTCACTTCAAACTACCATCACCTCACTCTATGCCATATTCGACTATTTCACAGTACTCATCTCACCTTTTTCTACCTTTGTGTTTGTCTCTTACATCTTTGAAACACTCTTCTGTCCCCCCCCGTCTCGACTTTTTTTCAAATTTGATGTTCCTTCCTCTCTATGAAGCCTGAAGTCAACTAAAGGGCTAATGATAACCATCAAGACGCCTGCCATTTGATATAAATAAATTTAAGTTGATTTATAACAACTGGCATTCAGTGATGGAGGTACAGAAAACGAAGATTATATGAGGGAACCAAGGATCAGAGGTTTTGAGAACATTAGTAGGCGCCAGAACCTCGAAACAGGGAGAGGGAGAGAGAGTACGGATACTTTGCAAACTCTCCCATAATGAGAATTTAAGGAGGGAGGGGGGGGGAGGGGGATCAATAAGCATATCTTTTGTTCCTATGCTATCTACACTCAGATCGGTGGATTGGAGCAAAACAACTCTTCACTGGAAGTCGTTTTAGGGTGATACTAAGCATAAAAAAGCAGGAATAACACGACATAGATAAGTTGCCGCAACCACACACACACACACACACTCACACAGACACACACACACACACACAAATAAGTTAAATAGGGAAGACGGCTTTTCAGTGCACACTCGAGAGTACTTGCAAATCGTTTGGCGAATTCAACCGAACGAAAAGTTAAGCGGGGAAAAATGTCACCTGAGTACAATTAAACGTGAATATAGAAGTGCGGCTTTTGTAGCAGTACAAACAAAGAAGAGGTAAATTTATTAAGCAAGAAAAGATTGCCCCTGAGCTAAGAATGAAATGGCAATGTGAGGAGTGCAATAAGTGAAACCACCATGAATGAGAGTAACTACAACTGCGTTTAGAAACTACAAACAGAGACCGCATTTCAAAAGAAAAATGTGCCTATGGTGTAGAGTTTTATTGATGTGAATTTCGTTAGGCTATTATAGGGTATATTTCTGCTGTGATAGAGGTCACGACTTACGTATCCATCATGGTTGAAACGTCTAATTAATAAGGACCAATAAAATATTTCTCCTTATTCTTCTCCATTTTGCTAAAACACGCTTTTGGCAAACTACTATGATTTATCTAGCAGTAATGAAAGAGCCAATGAGGACTCACTAAAGACTAAACATGCGGGGTTAGAATCTACTTAAATAACGGGGATGTAAAATCAGTAGTTAATATGGATGGCCATTTTAATTAAGGGAGCATTATATTAGTTAGCAATATAATGATGAGGAAGTTAATCAGCGGCGAACACAAACTTGAGGTTAGGACAGAAGCATCCAACGAGATATATGAACTATTCCCACCCCCCCCCCCCCCCCCCCCCCCCACTCCCCATCTCTTATCAAGTTATTACCATTCAATGTGAGACCAGATATGACATAAAAGCAAGAAAACACACCTCGTTTTCAATCACAGAACGCTCAAATCTCAGAGATCCACTTCCACTTTTATGCAAATCTGGTAATGAAGACGCTGCACCCGAATTCATTATGCCTGCGCATCCTTCGCTCCTCTCCGCTTTCAACAATCTATGTGGATAAGTGGCTCGAAGAATGTTAGCTGGAGGTACAACATAGGTAGTGGAGGAGGATTGAGTGACGATATCGGAGGATTTGAGATGGTCAGAAGGGGTGTGATCGGTGCCAGAAAGTGAAGTTGTGCGTGGACGTTGGTGCCGATGACGGCGACGCGAGGAGCCGGACGAACGTCGTTGTCGTCTTGATGAGGAAGGTGAATTTGCCGACATGGAAGAGGGGGAATCTGAGTTCTCACTTTGGACGCTAGTCACTGGTGCTGAGGTCCTGATAAATAACAATGAATATTTCAATGGAGGTAAATATATTTTAGGAAGCAACTAAAGGACGTTTTCAGGTTATTTAAGTGATATAAAAGAATAACTATATTATTTAAACACTGAATCGTTGATTAATTATTACGACAAACGTCAAAATGGCTCTTGCAATCACTCAAAATTAGTGTATTTGTGAATAAATGTTTCAAGAAAACTATCAATCACTGACAATAATCGATTTAGACTAATTCTGTACACAGGGAAGCACCGGAAAGCGATCGTCTGTTTAAAAAATACTCACTTAAAGTGGTAAATTTTAAAGCAGATTTGAAAAAAATTACAGTGCCCCCCCCCCCCCCCACTGCTGCCCCACTCCCCCACATTAAAAAAGTACACTTGTGGAAGTGAAAACAGATGGTAACCAGAAAAGTGCTTTCAAATGAGTTCAAGGAAAGAAAACATCCAACTTAACAGCATTTGGTGACTGGTTTAAGAACAATGAAGCAACTTTGATTATTCAAATGAAGAATACATTTTGATACTATTTAATAATATCGTTACAGAAATGCGCCTTCAATTACAATGACGCTTGAAATAATATTAGTATCAAACACAAGTAAAAAAAATATGTATACAAAATTTCATAAGCATTGCTTTTGTAACTTATAATAAGGAGATTGAAATACTCTCCAATTAAAACCACAGACCATAAAGAGACGAGAGATGAATAATGAGGTCGATACCAATTAAGCCAAATTAAATATCTTGCATTCTGAAAAATAACTTACACAATTATGTCACCCGGGGACCAAATTGTCAATTCTTAGCGTTCTAAACGTGAGAGCTAGAATGAAGTTTTGTTAATCTCACTTTAGCAGCTAACTAGGCAAAAAAAGTGGCCATTTGCTTATCTTGTGCTTGTAAGAATATTAAGTTTCAAATTACGGTGTGTGCGATAGGCTTACCTCCACGTGGTGCAGCCTGGGCAACGTATACTCATACGGCAAAAAAGTCTATCAACCGGCAGTTGATTCCGGATTTCAAACTACCACCACCCCACTATATGTCATATTCGACTACTCTCACACTACTCACCTCACCTTTTTTCTACCTTCGTCCTTGAAACACTCTTCTTCCCCCCCC